TAGAGAGGCAAATTTCACTCTTTACTTAATTTACCAGTTCATACTAGTAATAATGATGTATTACTATAGAGCTACTCAGCAGTATACAACTACAATTAGCCTCCTTTCTACCAGATGCAAAGTAATGTTTGCATATAATCCAGTGATGTTTCATTCAGTATTTTTACTTTTAATAAACTTTTTGTAAAATGTTATTGTCACTTTGACATAAAGAAGATCTGACTAAAATCTAATGATATGGATTTCCAGCACATTATGAAACTTCCCTGTAGGAATTTCAACTCAACCATAATGTAGATCTAATCCCTCCGCTGTATCTAATCCCTCTTATCTAAGTGCATTTGTCCTTTAAATTCATGTAATATTTGAAGTAACTCAGTTATTTAACGATCGTTAACAGCAGTGAGACGTGTATCTGCTTTTCAAGAGTTTTGCAACAACATGCCTCCTCCTCCAGTTTCCCTCAAAGCTTTCTATAACCGTCTGTTTGCCACAGTAAAGGTCACGTGTGCAGACGTCGTGCATATGTTGTCATGCGTCTGTCCCGGAGATCTATTGACTTCTTTCATTTATCTATTTCTTTGTTTGTTTGGGGGATGGGACTTTTTCTTTTCAGAGAGTCTTCGGGGACGAGTGCAAGTTCAAGGAGACTTTGCTGCCCAACAACTACAACGCCTACGAGTCTTTTGTTTACAAGGGCTTCTACGTGGCCCTCAGCAAGCATGGCCGCGTAAAGAGAGGCAACAAGGCCACCACCGCCATGACCGTCACACACTTCCTCCCGCGACTATGAGAGAAACTGGCAATAACTCTGTAATTTGCACATATGGATGTTCTTCCAGGTAAAACAGAAATGCATAGTCACGATATACACACCAATGGACTGCGTAAGAAATCACAAATATTTATTCTGTTTATATATATGTATATTTGGATAGCTATCTTTGTATATGTATGCCATACTGTGCTGCTTATTGTTTTTACGGCCGGGGCGAGTCGAAGCCTCGGCCTGTCTCACTTTACCTTGGTGCTTGCTGTAACTGAACTATGTGTCACTTCCTTTTTTGAGATGGAGGATGAGCGATATCCTGAGCTTTTAAAGAGTGAAATGAATACGTTTTATTACCTCAAAGAACCACGTCACTATAGATTTAAGGGATGCATGGACTTCTGCCCGAATATCTGCTATGTTTTATCGTTTCGTTCGAACCTTTGAGTGCTCGACGGCTCGACGTCAGCGGGGGAAAACTTAAATGCACTACCTTTGCTGCACGATTTAAAGGTGCCTTGGTGTTCCCACTTGTGGCCCCCTTCAGCTTGCATGTAAGAGACACCCGCTGGAGTCAGAAATAGGGCTGACGCTCCGGAGAGGGCCTCAGGAGGGGAGGGTTGGGGGGGGATTGACTATCTGGTTTATTTTCTTTTCTGTAATTAGATCGATTAAGTAATATACAATCTGTGGTGGAGACCAGAGAGTGGTCGGCCATGGCGACTGGCGTGAGGCCATGAGTTTGACTGTGTGGCATCGCCAGCAAATACACAGGGTGGAAAACTTATCTATCTGAGCATGGAGAACTTTTTTTTTTTGTTTGGACCGGGCTTGCATCTGCACAGGAATCAAGCGAGCGGATAGAGCACACAGTAGAGAGACGTATCCACACATTGTCCTGGACAGAGCTCCTACAGTCAAGTGGGTTGCTTCAGCTGCTGTTTGAAAATGATGTCCTCTGTCCGTCCATGAAACCAATGAAAAATGTAAATAGTTGCAAATGTAAAGAAGAAGAAATCAGGAGCTTTTCACGCTGCTTTGTTGCAGTCGCCTGAACGAGGCAAAAAAAAAAAAAAAGAGTCCAGGTTGCACATGAGCCATCGACGATGGTGCCTAAATGTTTATTTTTTGGTGAGAATCCGTTTCTTTCCCTCACGTTATGGTTGTGCGTTTGGTGGGAGTATGTGTTCACGCCCTGGGCCGTGTCCCCTCCTCGTGTGTGTGCTCTGCAGCAGCACTGCAGTGGCAGCGAGGTGTTGGGAGCTGGAGGCAGATAGTTATTAATGCAATTACAGATGAGCCAATCACGTGGCCCTGAAGGACTCAAGGACAGTGCAGTCGCTGGAGTGGATGCTCCCTGGAGGATTTGTCACATTTTAGTGGTGAAACACTGGCATCGGAAAGTTAGTACATCACAGCATCTTCCTCATCCACACATCTTGGAGGTGTACATATGATCAGTTTGTTTCCAAAGCTGACGATGTACCTCGCTTTGCAGACTTGCTGTCAGCACCTGTTTCAAACTTGTTTTCTTGCTTTGTGTTATTTCTGACAATCTTAAAGCGTGCATGTTCCCTTCAAATTTCTGCAGCTGTTTACTTTTTTTAAAAAACACTGGAGGTGGCTCCACCATCGGCCTCCATCCGTTCTTGTGTCGAAAAGAGGAAGCAGGGCCGTTTAAATCCAGGAAAGACGTATGCGAGGAAGGCGGCTGCTGTGTTTGTTGTTCGTCAGACCCCCTGCAGGAATGACAGGCAGCCCCCCACCACCACCACCTTTCAAGCTCTTTTGCCCCCGAGCACCATCCACCACCCACCTCTGCTCTTCCCCCCTCGCTGCAGCACTCACCCGCTGCAGGCAGGGACCTTTGGATTCCTGCTGTAACCCAGGAGCTTCCTCCTCTCCTTTCAGCCTTTTTTAGTTCAAGGTCAGAGTCACGGACCAGCCTTGGCCAGCCGGGGTGCTCAGCTATATGGGTCGGACTGTTTCCATGAAACAGAGACACTAAGTGCATAAACTAAGTTTATTTTATGCTTTAACAGAATATAAATGATTGAATCGTCAGCCCCAGAGGTGGGTTTCTATTGGACAAGTGGAGAAAACAAAGCTCTTACGCGTCACTATAGGTCCCTGCTTCAATATTTCTGAATCAGTCCTGCTCCTCTCTCTGACTTTAAGAGCGCCACCTCTTTAAAATGCAGCTCTACAACATGCTCCCCCTCCTCCCCTTTCCAAGTACTTGCATTGGGATATTTCTGGGGAGGGGACATCTGCAGAGTTAATGCAGTGTGTGAGGAACAGGCAGAGCCTCACCTCTGCTGCTGCACTCCAGTCCTGCAGGGCCGCTCCCTGGCCATCCTCGGGACGAGCCCTCTGCCGCTGAGCACCGACCCCAAACATCTCCCATCAACCACTGACGCAGTATCACCTGCTGCTCGACGACGCACAGAGACATTCACGACAGTATTCTTCCCATTGATAAATCTCCTCCTCATTTTTTTTTTCCATTCGTTAGGGCGGAGACCATGATGCTGAGAAAGTTTCAAATAACTGAAAAGACTTGTTGCTGTTGTAGACGAGCAGAACCACTGACGTTGATAAGAGGGAGGTGGGGAGGTAAATGGTGGCGCACTGTCAAAGTGTCTGACGTCTCTCGTAGCACCTTATTAACGACATCTTGATTATAATCTCACGCAGAGAAGTGAGTTCTCTCACACATCTCCGTCAGAAACAGAGCTGGATCCTAAAAGAGTGATGGTTCGTGTCTAAGAGAAAAAACTCACCTTTCAGCTTTGACCAAAAAAAAAGAATCTTATCTAGATTGATCTTTTCTTTCCACCACTTAAATCAAATTTAAATTCATTCAAGACGAGGAATCTTTTTTTAAATTAATGTTTAATGTCCTATGAGCATGTCTGGGCCCTGAGCTTGATTAGGGCTGTGTGCTTCATGTCTTTTATTTTATTTTATTTTTATTCCTGCTCTGAAAGTAGTGAGCCTCCACTCTATTCCTCTCATCTCTGCTCTCATATACCTCACCTCCTGCCTTAGTTTTGGTTTGCTAATGACTGTAAATGATGAAGAAACAATCTCCTGTCACTTGTTTCTGAAAACAGACAATGCTAAGTAAGGATATTAAAGTTTTTTCCTTTTATTTTTGTACGTATGTGCTGTGCACAGCAGTCTACTGTATTCCTGAGATACCAATAAAGGTTTGATTTTTTAAATGGTTGCTGGTTAAGTGTAATTACACCATAAAAAAAATACTCCTGTCTTACACCCAAAAGTTAAAAAAGACAGAAAGATTAAAACGCTTGTGCAGAAAAATGTGAGTGATGTGACTGTAGCCGACATTATTGTTAAAACAATATTGAGAAGTTGAGAAAAAGTAGGAATACTCGAGGAGAGCAGGAGTACCTCAAATGTGTACATCATTACAGTACTCAAATATAAATGTACTCTGTTACTTTCCACCACAATAACTTTTTGTCTGTTTTAGCAAATAGTTAAAATATTTAATTGCACTAAATCAACTTGTTTTCCTACAACTGGAAAATACTTTTCAGTTTCAAGAGATGATGAGATTAAATTTAAACGACTCACAGTTCAATGTGATTTAAACTCCAGCATCCAACGCTCAGCCTGACGCACTGTAACTTTCCAGGAAGTGAAAAACTTCCTTCAGTGAGTGTGTGGCTCCCTCTGCCGGTGAAGAGCGGGGATGTGGAGCTGGGCAGGTGCGTAAAAAGCAAACAAACTTGAGACTGTGACTCTGTTCAGCCCGAAGTGAAACTAACGTGTAAAATACATGTGATTACATTCTTTAGTAAAGAATTCTGAATTTGTTCCAAACTAGAAAAAGTCAGTTAAATGACATGTATCGTTGACTTGATTAACAGGTTCATATTCTTTTCTTTTTTTTTTTTAATTGCCTAATACACAATGTTTCCTGTCCAAAGAAAATAACTGGACTTTGGAGCATTGGTCTAATGTCTAAGGTGGATCAGTCAAGACGTGTCACCTAAAATAAGACTCCTGTTGTCTGACCAGAGCACCGGGATAAACAGACAGAGGTGGAAGTGGCCCTTCCGCTGCAGCAAACCCGCACATCTGCTTTGGGGGCGAGTTTCTTTTTTTTTTACGCAAAGGATGTGAGCAGGAGTGGCACTCGGGGGGCTTTAAATAGGAACTGTCTCCAAACTCTGGGACAACACAGCATCTGACAAACTTCCAGCAGCAGCAGCTCGCAGTGGAAACCGCTGGTTTTGCTCCAGGATGGACGTCAACAGGAGACTGGGGATGAGGGACACTCTGCTGGCGCTCTTACTCGCCGTCTTCCAGGGATTTCCTCTCGGGGACGGAGCCCCGAATCCGTCCCCGCTGGTTGGATCCAACTGGGGGAACCCACGGAGATACGTCCACCTGCAGACATCCACGGATCTCAACAACTTCTACTTGGAGATCAGATTGGATGGCACTGTGCGCAAAACTACACTCAGGAGCTCGTATAGTAAGCGCTTTAACGCCTCTTGTTATTTTTATTTTTTTACTTATCGCAGTGAAGGTCTGTTTTTAAAATCCTCTCTCTCCTCCGCAGGTGTGATGTTACTGAAAGCTGAAACGAGGGAGCGCATCGCCATCCTCGGCGTCAAAAGCAGCCGCTACCTGTGCATGGATTTGGATGGAAACCCGTTCAGCTCTGTAAGTCGATTGCTTTCAATTAATTCGATAAAAGAAAAAAATGAATTGAATTGATGTGCTCATCTAACTTGTATTTGTCGCTTCCTCTAACTTGGCACACGTGTGAAGTTTTACGCATCCAACATTTTTCCTTTTACGCACAAACATAATTCAGGAATGCGATGACTCCACATCACTTCTTTTGATTTTCATTATTAGAAATCTCAGATCGGCGACTTGTTAATAACTTATTAATCAATCCGCTTCACTTTAACCATATTTGGCACATTTGGCAACAATTGCGCACTTTTACGCATGATTTTTAAAAATCACTTTGTGTACTTTTAGGCACAAATTCACTGAGGTTCACAAACATCAATTTTCCAAATTAATTTCACTTCATTATTCTGCCAAGAGGAAAAATAGAATACTTCCAGTTTAACTCTCTGCCTCTCTCCTTCCCCTCAGCCCATCTGCCTGAAGGACGACTGTCTCTTCAACCACAAGCTTCTGGAGAACAACCGGGACGTGTACTACTCCAGCCGGACAGGCATCCTCTTCAACCTGGAGGGCTCCCGGCAGGTGTACGCTGCGGGTCAGAACCTGCCACAGACCTCCCTCTTCCTGCCCAAGAGGAACACTGTGCCACTGGAGCGCCTCCTGCTGCACCGGGAGAAGAGGAACCAGCTGGTGGATCCCTCCGACCCGCACAACGTCTATCTGGGTCAGACCGAGGTGGGCTCCGACTCCCGGGCCGTGCCGGAGGACGACGCCGACCTGGAGGTGGAGGTAGAGGTGGAGGTGGAGGCCGGGGACGACGGGCGCAACGTGTCCCGGGAGACGCCACTGGATCCATCCACCCACGACCCTTGGAACGTGCACTCGTCCAACCCAGCCAGCCCCCGGAGCACCGGCACCATGGGGTGACATCACATGTGACCCAGCTTAGTGTCTCAAGGTGTGGGCGCCAAATTTACCATAATTTACATGTAGCCTTGTAGTTCATGAACATATGATTCAAACAATATAAAACACAGACTTTAAGGAAATTAGAAGAAAGAAGAGCATTTCTTTCTTTTCCAAACTTAATCTAAAACAGTTCCTGTCATCAATCATCCAGAGAAGCAGTGTGTTCGTACACTGAGAGTAGAAATTATTATCACACCTGACCTGCAGCCCCCTTTGCACAATTCGCAAATCCATTTTCTTTCGCTTCTGTTTCTTTAACATCAGCTCTGAGATCACAAGTTAAATTTAGAAGAGATGTGAGTTTGACGTGGACTTCGCTCGTCACTGACTAATATTTTGTACATTCCCACGTAGGTTTGGAGATAAATGGAGGATTTGAAAGCAGATTTAGTTAGAGGAGAAATGTCAATGTCAATCAATTCCCACTCATTACAATCAGCGATCACTATCATGGAGCTTTGGTTTCAGTAAGAAAAAAACCCAGATAATTTAAATTATACTCTAACATTTTTTGTTTTCTCGAAAGACTATTCACAATCTTTGAGAACGGAGGACAAAAAAAAACCCCTAAATATTAACGAGCCCAACTCTACTTTGTTTAGTTTTCTTGTGTGGTCTCTTCTCATCATGGATTTTGCAGCTGGTCTGAGAAACCCACATTTCAAAGTGACATTTATCCTACGACAGACAGAAGCCTGACTCGAGCCTACCTCTGGGGGACTGAAGGTCCTGTCTACTGATGTGAAACAAGGCAGGCGTGATTTTACATAAGAGCATGCGTTTACTTTAAGATGTGCATTAGTAGAGTTACGACGGAGGTCTCGCTTTTATTTCAAAGTCCTACATTTGCTGAGTTGGATAAAGATGATTTGAAGTTAGTTTATTGTAAGATGTTGAACCTAAAAACAACTAAAACTATATATCACTGCAATCACTTACATGATCTGTTTCTGTATTTGTGTTTTTATTTTTATTTTGCCACCAATAATACAACCTATAAATCATGACTTGAAGTTATATGACAACAGGGTAAACAACTTTTTTGGAGCAGTGATTATAAAATCAAATCTGAACTATAAGATTTTACGGGTGCCGGGCACCACCAGCAAACACAGGTACCAGTCCCAACAAGTATTTATTTATTTAAAACCCTTCCTTTAGTGTTATTTATGGTATTTATATGGATGCTTTTCCTTTACAATGTACATATACTGTAAGAAAACATGGTTTGTCTTTGAATGTATGAGCAGGAGTTGTGGACGGAGCGTTGCTTGAATTTGGGACAAAATAAACTCATTAAGAAAAAGTCAGTGTTGTGCATTTCTTGACGTGTGGATCTTTAAACTTTGGTGCTTTGTGTGCTGCGTCAGTTCCCAGGGACAACATGTACTATGCAGAAGGAAGTCATGAATGTGGGAGCAGATTCACATCGACTCAGATTCTGTGGAGTTCCGCTCATGAGCCGAGGATCCTGCACTCTTCACACCTCACTTAGCTTCATTAGCAAACGGGTACATGAGCTGCGGAGCAATTTAAGCTTTGACCAACAGTTCAATCGCTCGTTATCATCCATTAACCTTTGACGGAATAGCTCCACATTTCCGCTGTTGTGGTGAAGATTTTAGAACTTATACAGCTCCCGACCAAGTTATAGTCTGGTCACAGACAACAGCATAAATCAGCCGAGACACGACTTGAGTTTTTACAAAGTAAACAACATATAACCACCCTCGTGTAAATGACGGTTTCCTTATTTACCCAGAGACCAACCAGGACTCTATCGCACAGATGATTAGTTTGACATGAAAGATACGTTAATGTTTTTGTTTGTTTCTTTGATTGACTCAAATAAATACAGTGGAATATTCCCCTCTTATATGCACAAATATGAAGTATAATATATGAATAAAGTTGTAAAAAAACATAATATACTGCAGTGCGTCAAGATGTTTTATTCAACCCGTCATTACTGCATAAGGTTTGTTAGACTTAAGTTCATCAAGTAATTCATTTCTGTACTTACATGGCGATAAAAGGAGTGTGTAGTCAGTAGTGATGGAAAAAACAGAAACACAAAGTATTTCTGAAAATATACCATGAATCACATGGTACAGATACATCTATGGTAGTTCTATCTATAGCAGCCTATGTTTCTTGTGTATTAGACAAGTGAAAGTTCCAAATGAAACAGCTGGAAACATGAGTTTCAGTACAAAGCACTAACCCACATAAACATAAACAATAAATGTTGTTTCACAGCATTTTCAGATATGTGCAAACTCTTTCTGTAAATTATACATGTACATTAAAAACTCAACCAAAGATTTAGTGTTGTCATCTTATATTGCACAAGTGAAACGAGCAGCTGCACAGGAGACTCATCAGTGTTCAATAAAACATTCAATAGTCCAACTTTGGCAACAAATGAGGTAATAAAACATGAAGTATGGAGACTGACACACGAGTCTTTACTGGCCCGGAGTTGGAAGGATGACATGTTTTAAAATACAATATCACACAAGTAGTCTTAATACTGATCCACAGTAAAACATATTGAATACTGAGAAAAACCCTGTGTACTCTTTTCAGTTGCCTGTGGTAACTTTGAGGTCTTTGACTCATAATTCCCTTTAGCGTTCATGATTGTTTCTTTACGTGTTAGATATAACGTGCACAGATGCTGCACACACAAAACTTCTACTCACTACTCAGCAGCCGTGAGCTCCTCCAGGTGGTCCTTCCTGTTGGTGAAAACACAGCGAGCAGCAGAGAGGACCGGGCCGCACTCGGACGGGCTCAGAGTGAAGATAAAGCGGCCGATGCCGGTGTTTGGACAGGGTGCGGTCAGCTGGGACATTTTCACCCCTGCAGGCAGGGAGCACTTTAAGTCATCCACAATGTGCCCGACGGCTACGCGGATGTAGGCACCGTGGCTCACTACCAGAGCGTGGAGCGCGAGACCCTGCAGGCCGTCATCGGCCGCACCGACAGAGGCGACGTCCGAGGCGGCAGCTGCCGTCACCTTTGTGGCGTCTCCGGCTGCTAACGCTCCCTCAGAAGCGTCCGAGCCACACGAGCCATGTTCTTCCAACATTTGCTTGAAAAGGATTTTGAGGAATTTTTGGAATCGCAGCTTCACCTGGAAGCAAGGTGACATTACCCAGAGATCAAAAAGATTCCTCAACTGCAGCAGGGTTGAAATTCTGCGTCCGTTACCCGCAAATGACAGGAAGTCATGTTTGATTTCTGTTCGCTGAAGTTTTGCTTCATTTTTTTTTGTCATTCTACAAACTGCGTATTAAAATTGTTCATCGATTATTCGTCAACATTTTCAATAATTGATTAATTCTCACTTTTCAAGCAAACCTGCTCAAAATTTGGTTGGTTGGAGTTTTTTTGGGTGAAGATTTACTGCTGGTGATGTTTAAAACTTTTACATAAACTTGAGCTAAATGTGATTATGTGTTAAATTTGTTTCTTTGAAATGTTGAAATGTCATCTAAAACCACAAGCCAGTTTTTCATGCTTGATTAGATTTGACATTCTGAAGATAGATGATTGTTATTCAACAGAAATGTAAAAGCCAGTCGGCACCGAGTCTTGCAGCTGATATTGATGTCTGCAAACTTTTAAATGCAATGTCCCAAAATGAACACTGAACGGCGCTGTTGTACAAGCAACACTCTTCTGTCCTCGAGGTTCTTGGTGCGTTTTCAACCTCGACTGAATCTGAACAGTGAATCGTGACTCACCTGTCCTAAAGTCTCTCCTCCTGGTGGCGTGTAATCTCCACACGACTGGCCGGCAGCGTTGGCCATGTTCTTCAGATGCTCTTTGGGACGTCCTTCAGCGACACCAAAACTCTGCACGGAAACATCGGGTCTGAGCTCATGACAAAAACCGCTGTAGCGATAAAGGTGTAAATCTGTGACATGTACAAGTTGTATGAAGCCAACAAGTCTTACCCTCTCTCTGAGTAGCGGCTCCAGAACCATCTCCGTGCCAGAACAGTGAGCGTTGTGCCTCATGATGAGCTCAGCAGTCTGATGGAGGAAATGAGAACTGAACTTCAATGACTCAAGACGTCTATATGAGCCAAAAGACTTAAAAAATATTATTTAAACATTGTCAGCATCGGTGAATCACAACCCACAGACACATGAATGTTCACACAACTATTTCATATCTGGAAGTCATTCACAACTGCGTCCTGTTTTTCTTCCCAAATCAGGAGAAAACTACTGTGACGTCTGACTGGTTTCACTGGAGGATTTGTTCCTGATGGGAAAACCTCAGCATCAGTTCCGATTTAAGACGTAACACACACATTTACGGACAAGCGAGGAGATTTGAAACTCTGACTGTGGCACTGCGGAGGACTGAGAACCTCCAAATTAACATGCTCTAGGTAGAGTTACCTACCAACTCTGTGGGTGGATTTCTTAAATTAAAATGATGACAGTGCTACAAACATGTTCTGTTGAAATCACCGTGCATGGAGCCAAATTATCACACAGGAGCTAGTTAAGATATTTGATTGTTTATCAAAAGGAAAATATGGGTGCGGTCTGGCTGCAGGATACGAGCCAGGTCTGGATTGACTTTACTGAAAAGGTCACTGACGTGAGGCTGTTGCACAACGGTTACATTGAAGTGTCGACTAAATTCTCAGGAAAGTTTTATCAACACACATGAGACGTTCCAACAATAATGTCTGAAACACGGAAACAAATGCGATGAGTCTGATACATTATCGAATCAACTGTGATTAGAAAAGGAATCTGAGTTCACATTAGCTGTGACTCATAACAGCAAACAGTTTTTTTACTCTCTGCCATTGGTTGTTTTCACCCCCGTCTGTTTGTTTGTCAGCAGGATTACGTAAAATCTACTGAACCGACGTCCATGACACTTGGTGGCAGGATGGAACGTCGGCAACATTGCAAAATAGAATGTTTTTTTCCACTGATTTCCGCCCCTTAAGACGGGATTTGGGAAATTAAGTCATTATAACTACAGTGTGATTCAAGATTCATGACTTACTCCACATCACAACAAAGTAGACAAAGAAACGAGCTTCTGACAAAGACTAGAATAAAATCCACGCACACTCAAAAAACATAATAAAATATGAAACACCTAAATAAGAAGAGCAGAATAATAAATACTAAAATCAATGATTTGATCTGGAATGGTTTCACACCCCTAGTTTAAGCACATCACTGGAGGATGCACTGAACTACTGTAGTTCTTGTATTTGTGTTCCGTGTCAAATTGTTCTTATATACTTTAATTTAATTTAAATTTATTCTCTTCTTTTATGCATGTATTCATTTTGTACCTGGGCCATTGTAATACCTGCTTGTCCCCCATGGAGATCAATAAAGAATCTCAGTCAGAATGATCATCGTATAGTCGGAATTTTTCACTCGAGAATGAAGCTTTATAGCAAAGAGGAATAACAATCAGACTTTGGATTAATAGGCTGTAAAATAAATCATACTTAGTTTGGGTGTTTTCATGATAAAATGATTGAATATTACCAGCTTTATTATTTAGGAGGCTACACTACACGCAGACACATAACACACAGCTTCCTGAGTGACGTGACGGTGTGCGAAAAAATAACAACCAATGCATATTTCTTCCACTGTCTCTTGTGTCATTTGTGATTTCCAGATGTCACCTGTTAAAGCCCAGCTGTGTGAGTCTGTCTCACCTGTACAGCTCGTTGTAAGTTACTGGCAAACACATTGTTGAAGGAGATTTCTTTGAGGTATTTTCCAGCTGCTTCTCCCTGCAGCACACCCGTCTCTGACAGGGAAGTGTCAACACCCTGACCTGAAGGCACAAAGAACAGGTTTGCAGCCTCCTATAGAATGTTGGTTGTTAATTTACCTGTGTTTGTCGTCTTTTTGTGGTTTGTACTGTGGTTTTTTTTTTTAGCCATCCTCGTGTATCCTACATCTCATTTGGGACGTTTTCTATCTGTTTATAGTTGTTTTGTGTCTTCTGGGGGTTTTGAAACACCTCTCAGTGATTCTGTGTCTCCTGTGGAAACTCTCTGCCGAGCTAACTCAAGACACTCAAGCTTCTCTGAAACCTGATCTTTAAACCTTCTTCTTCTTCTTACAAACTTGTTTAGCACTTTTTTAATAACATTGTTAAAAGAGGGCTAGAGGGTTTTATTAAGATGATTGTTGTCACTTTCCACCTGTTCGGGAACTTTCCATGTCAACAGTAACTTGAACCGACCTGTACTTGTGTAACTGTTCTGACTTGAATGATCATTATCACTGATTTGAATTGTTAATGTGCAGCCTGAGTGACCGGGACGAACATGGGGACGTACCTTGCAGCAGCTTCTCTCTGTTGTACTGTGTTTCCCCACTGCGGGAAAACAACGTCACTGAATTAGCTCAAACACAAACACACAGTAAGTATTTCCACAGCAAAGCTCTGTCGTGTGGCTGAGGGACGAGGACTGAGCCCCAGGGAACTACACGCATTCAGCCGCCAAGCTGCTCCAGTTACCGGCCGACAGGTGCGAGATACACGGACACGAAGCAGTTCCATCGCGTTCACGTTCCCCGAGGACATTAAAGTAGAATTAAATCAGTGAGCGGTCACTTACTGTCTCACGAGCGTTAAACTGAACGTCAACATCTTCTCCTCCTGTCACTTCCTGCTTCTGTCTTCTTCTTCTACTACTACTACTTCTTCTTCTCCCCCCCCCCCC